GGTTAAGTAGATCATGAGCTGGATCAGCATTTCCAAGGCAAGACGTTTCTCAAGTGTAACGTGAGAAAGAATAGTCAATGCTGAGGTCAATGAAAGAAGAACGAACGCAAGAGAAGGCTAGGACGGTGCTCAAGACGTTCACTCTACCCGCGAAGAGTGAGTATGTATATGTAAGCAAGCATCGAATGATGGAACCGCAGAGACCAGACCATTGTCGAACTTCCTCCAAGTATGACATCCCTGATGAGACTGCCGAACCGAATTGTCCTCAAGGCATTGAGAACAGTCAGGAAATATGTGTATAGGTACTGCAGTACAGGAGCAGAATTTCGGAATCGAAATGATGTCTGCACTAACAAGCTTCTCTGTCACCAAATTCAACGACACTTTTGTAACCGACATTGGCTGTATGCGAAACACTGGTAGGTTCGCACGCTGAGCCCGGGTGAGAAGCCTTGGGTTCGGATGAATGCAGATGAGCAGGCGCTAGGAGTGGGTCATGCGTTCCGAGCTGGCACTCGTGGTTCTGTGAGCCGCACTGTGCAAATGCGGCGATCAGCCGATTACGTTGCAAGATGAATGATCAAGGCATTTTAGGGTGGAGTGGCGAGCTACGAGAACTTTAAGAGGAGTCGACCGAGGCTCGTCACCATGGATGGTAGCCACCTCTATTTACCTCTGAAGGGCGAAGCCCTGACCACAACGAACATCTTCGTTTTCGCCTAAGTCTCTACATATACATCGTCATGTTATATTATATTGTTGTGCCTTGTTACTAATTACTTATAAATAATTCTATGATTTATTTATGTATTTGTTCTGAAAAGGAAGTCAAAGTTCAGTTTTAGACGGGACTTTTACAGGGTTTGGAGAATCTTTGCCGGATCAAACCGTATTTGCTCCGATCATGGACCACGTTGTTTGTAGGAGTCTTAAAGTTTTGTCCATTGAATGAACACAGAAAAATTCCAAAAAGTTGCGATCTCGCAAAAAAGTAGTGGTGACAACACCTTGACGCGCATGCGCATCACTTGGTCCCTCGCGGTTTGCAAGGCTTGACGCGGATGCGCGTCAAGGTGTCGTCAATGGGTTAAGTAGATCATGAGCTGGATCAGCATTTGCAACGCAAGACGTTTCTCAAGCGTAACGTGAGAAAGAATAGTCAATGCTGAGGTTAATAAAACAACGCAAGAGAAGGCTAGGACGGTGCTCAAGACGTTCACTCTACCCGCGAAGAGTGAGTATGTATATGTAAGCAAGCATCGAATGATGGAACCGCAGAGACCAGACCATTGTCGAACTTCCTCCAAGTATGACATCCCTGATGAGACTGCCGACCGAATTGTCCTCAAAGAATTGAGAACAGTCAGGAAATATGTGTATAGGTACTTCAGTACAGGAGCAGAATTTCGGAATCGAAATGATGTCTGCACTGACAAGCTTCTCTGTCACCAAGTTCAACGACACTTTGAAACCGACATTGGCTGTATGCGAAACACTGGTAGGTTCGCACGCTGAGCCCGGGTGAGAAGCCTTGGGTTCGGATGAATGCAGATGAGGCGCTAGAAGTGGGTC